TAAAAAAATTAAGAATTTTTTTAAAAATAATAAGAGACCTTATGAGATGTAGAAGGGTGACTCTTGTAAATATAGGAATGATAAGAGAGAGAAGAGTGATACTAGAGATGCAATGAAGAGGTCTCAATTAGTGAAGTGTCATGAGTCTAAAGGTTTTGGACATTTTAGAAAATGATGTATATAAAGAAAATGGTCCCATTCAGGAAGCATATATTTTTTACGTCCTAGGAAGACAAGTCGTTAATATTATACTTGATATATTTAAGGCGCGCTTGAAGCGTGAATACATTTGACTCTAAGTAAACATCTTTAAAAGAAAATGGTGCATATAAAGAAGATGGTCTTATTTAGTATATTTTTGGAGAAAACATCAGTAGAGGTTCACATATTAGAAATGTTAAAAGTGGAGATCCTTCGTTATGTTATGTTATTATGGAAAAGAAATAGAATCGATGGGAAATAGTTATCGACAAAACTTTTGTACAAGGTGTACTACATATTATAAAAGACGAGGATATCTAAATAAATTCGTCAAATCATATTGATAGAAGAAATGATTGACAAAACAAATGTACGCAATCCTAACAAAATTGAATTTACTAGAGAAACCTAAAGTTCTGGATCTATAGTCCGAACAACTAAATGTGTATACTTATGCGAAATAAAAATAAAGTCGTAATATATAATGTACGACTCTTAGCATAATCATTTTGCAAAGACTTGTATAAATAAATAAATTATTCAGTGATGGATGCGATTAGAGGTCTCTATCTTGGTAGTCTAACCATGCATGAAATTTAATATGCATATAATAAATGCGATTATAGTCAACTTAACGTGTATGGTTTTAACACAATACTTGAAGGATTTCACGCTTGAAGTATATAATTCAATTGATATCATCGTAAGGGGAATAAATACGCATTGCATTCTTTTTTTCTTGATCATGATTTTGTCTCGATCTGATAATATTTTTAATGAGACAACTTTTGCAGTGTACTCAAAATAATAATGTACTCTTTTTCTTTTATTAAAATTTTTTTTCACATGAATTTTTGTAATACGATTTTAACGAAATATATTCATTGTAGAATGATGTCCATAACTTACAAAACATTTACAATCAAAATAACGTTCTAATATGTTACAAATTGTGTACGATCGAGGACTAAAGTCAATCTATTTTTCGACTAAAAAAGATTGATAAATATTATCTATAAAGATGATACTGCTTGAAAACTATACAAGACAACATAAGACACTTCACCGGAAATTACGATATTAAAGATATTGACGTATATGACATGGATAGCTCAATACAAGTATTTTCATTTATTGATATCAAGGGGAACAGTTGTACTCTTTTTTCTTTGCTCAAGTTTTATCTTATTGGATTTTTTTGACAATGTTTTAATGCAACATCATTTTATTACTCCAAATTATTTGCATTTTTTAAATTTGTTTGGTATTTCTGTCCTATCAATTTTTTTCTAAATAATATTTATAATGAAACAGTTGTGCAAATAGTCATTAAAAGAGGAGTGTTTTAAACAAAGTAGCATTTATGAATGACTATTGTATTCATTGCATTCCTAATTTTTCTATATAAATATGATGCTTTAGTTATTAATAAAATACATACAAATTTATTGACTTCTCTACTTTTTTCTTATTTTCTCTTCTTTTTATAACAAATTCAATTATTATAACTTTATCTGTATAGGTTCGATTAGGTCCTTTAATAGCTTCGAATAGGTTCAAATGATTTAATTATACGTATAATTGAAATAAAAGAATCGCACATAATACCTGGTCAAATCCAAACCAAAGGCCACGTCTTTGTCATTGATTGATTGAATAAGGGAGTGTTTGAGCCACATTATTTTTGAAGAATGTATTTTGGAATAGTAGATTGATGTAGAACAAGTTTCCAAGATTTTACAAGAATATAAAGGGGGCGTTTGGTTTGTTGCTTTTATGTTGTTTTCAGCTTTGAAAAAATTTAAAATTTGTTTGGTATGATATTTTTGAAAACGTGTTTTTAAAAATTAGATTAAATATATAACATAAAACACAAAATATATTTTGGCGTTCTTAGCATTTTGAAAATACTGAAAAAGTTAAACATGAAAAATACAATTCAATTCCTCAATTTAATAAAAAATAAAAAAATAAAAAACACGAAACAAAATACCCAAAATACCTGATCTCTCTCTCTCTCTCTCTCTCTCTCTCTCTCTCACCAAAGTGATTTCGAAGAACGGTGATACTCAAGAACCTTAGCCCTTCCAAGTCAGACACTCCAACTATCGTCTCTTTAGCTCTAGTGTCGTTTTTCAAGTCTAATTTCTCAAGCGTCAAGCCTCAATAGTCGAGGTAATTATCTGATTTTTCGAATGTTTTAAACAAGTTTTTCATCCAATTATTTGTTGGCAACAGTTCAAGCGTCCACCAAAGTGTATAAATTCAGTCTACAAATGTCAAACCCTTTTTTATATATGCTTAGCCCACCCAATTAAAAAGAAAAAATGATTTTTCTTGTTCATACCTCATCGATCGTAGCTTTCTGTACAAAGCCCGCTGTCCTGCACAACACTGCTCAACATTTAAGGATTGATCACATCTTGATCTCACTCATCAAGTGCAATCTGAACTTGGTGATAAATAATATTCGAAAATTGGAAGGAAAAAAAAAACTCAAAACTGTTGACCAGAGTTGGGAATTAAAAAATTTCATACAATGCAGCATAGTATATATAGTAATCTAGGATTTATTTATTTATTTATTTATTTTTGGGGTCTCAGGTTAAAGATTTCTTTTTTTCATGTTCTTCGGGATTAAATATTCAATAGAATCTAGTTCAAATTCTATTAATGGATGGTAGAAATGGGATGACCCAAATCGTAAGAACTGTAAAGTAAATTTCTTAGAAAACGTATCTACAAAAAGTATAAACAAAAGTTCTATTAAACGGACCCTTAGACTTGACTTGAATTGCTTCAAGTAAACTACAATATTTCTTATATTTTTCTTGCTATAATGTTGCAAAATAAAAGGAATTAAATCTTCAGGATTATATACATTTTCCAGTCACCGACTTACGCTGTTTCAATTGATTCACCAAACTTTCCTTTTTGGTACACGTGATCATCATGCTCATAGTTTTGTTACTGTTAAGCCATTTTCTTTATATTCAAAGATAAAGTAACTTAGTTGAAACAAAATTGTAAGTTTATTGGTGCGAGGAAAAATATGTTTGGTGACCTAAGTGTTCTAACCAAGATGCGGATTGAAAAGAATCAAGGAATATTCTGCTTCATGTTACGATTCAAAGACAGATCAGCCACTGTTAGTGGATCATCATAGCCAATCACACTTTAGTCATTGATGTTGAAGAAGTGTAAAACATTGTTAGCCGATATATACGTTTTTCACTGTAGACGTGTGACTTTATTATTGTTTTTAAAGGGCGAATAATGCTACTCAAACATGGTTTAAAAACAGGGACTTTATGTATATTTTTTCTAACTGTCCGATGATATTACGACACGTGTCTCCTTATTTTTAAATCCCCGTCAATGACTCTGTTTGTGTAGTATAACTCTTAAAGGGTCTCCACGGGACTTGATGACAAAAAACCACTTCTTCAATTGAGTCACCGTGCTGAATGTGCAATCCCTTATTTAAAAAAAATAATGTCGTCTAACCAGTGTTGCTAAAGTATCAATGACATGACCACACTTAATCGATCCATTTAAATAAATCATATGACATGAATTAAATTATTCTATCATTTAATAATATGCAATTATCACCTAAATTGATATTTAGAACCAAGTATAATATAGACGTTAAAACATTTATTGCAGTGTTGAGCTACTATTGGTTAGCTGAAAATATTCCATACTTGGTTGTATTAAACATCAATGATGCTCAAAAAAATAATAAAAAAAAAAAATAAATAAATAAATTACAAGAGACAGTCCTCCCTTTCTTGCGAAACGGTGAGGTTTTCTTCCCAGGTTTTCCTCCTGGTTCTCTCCTCTTGGGTTTCCCCTGTAGAGTTGGGTTGGTTGTGGTCTTCTCTTCCCTTTTTCTCCAGTTTCTTTCTTCCCCGTGCTCTTGAATAGGCCTTTTCCCGTGATTTCTCCAGGGGTTGGGAGCTTCGGCTCCCCCCTCCCTTTTTGTTTTTGTGTTTTTTTCTTGTTCAGTTTGGGGTTGTGGTTTGTGGTGGTGGCCGGCGTGAGTGGGGTGGTGTTTCTACCTGTGTCTTGGTGTTGGGGGCTGGAGCCTGCAGGAGCAGCGCCATCGCATCTTTTGCCGGCGGGTGGTTTCGTTTTGGGTCGGTTGGGTGCGCCTGGTGCCTTGTCTGCCGCTGTCGGAGCTTCGCCAGTGAGCCGTTTTGGCTGGTCTTCCGGCGCTGGAGTGGGATGGTGGTGGAGGTGTACTGGTGTGTGTTTTGTGGTGTGTTGGATGGTTGTTTGGTTTGATGTTTCGGTTGTGTTTGTTTCTGTTGATTGTTGGGTGGTTTGTTTTGTGGTTGTGAAGTCTAGTCAAAGTCCGCTCCTCGCGGGGATGCTAAATTGCTAATTGCATAGTTGGCTTTCAGTCGGGTTTGCCTGTATTGTAAAGTCACAGCTGTTATTTGACTTCGGTTGGATCGTCTGTTGTGGGTTGTGTATTTGTGGTCGATCATGTCTGTACTTTGTGGTCATTCCTTTGGCCGTGGTGGCACTTTATCTCTCTTTATGTCTGTGTTTAGAGAGCCTGTGTTTGGAGGTTTTCCTCTTTGTAACCGCGTTTTGCGCCTTTTATGGAATGTCTTTTATCAAAAAAAAAAAAACATCAATGATGCTCGATATCGTTACTTTATTATAAGGTTTAGTATAATGAGTTTAGTATAATATAGATGTTTTACAGTGTAATTTTACAGATTCTTCCTTTACCCTTCCCCTCCACTGCAATGTCTAAACCAGGATTTGAAAAGAAAAATCTCAGGTTACACAGCTTTCCAAGACTCAAGAGTAGGAAAGCAGAAAAAGGAGTCAAATTCAAAGCCACCCGTACCGGACGGAGACGGGGGAAGATTGGCCGCCGGTAGCTCAACAGACTGAAATGAAGTGGACCCCACTTGGTGGAACATAAAAGCTGAGGTGTCAAGGGTTGGCAAGCATCCACCATCCTGCATGTCATTCATAGCTCTTTGAGGCTGCAGCTTCAGCCCTTGCGCCGATGGATTCAAATCTCCGAGTCTCAACCCCGTCACCTGCTGCACCATCTTCCTGAAATTCGCCGCATCCGCCGTGATAAACGTCGTCCTCGTCGCCGCCGCCCGCTTCGAGGCACGTGACTTCTTCTTTGTGATCTTTCCAACAGGTGCCTCAAAACGGCTTTTCGCAACCGGAACTCCACTTCCTAAACCTCCAGCCGCCGTGGGTGTCTGCACCGGCTTTAATGCCGGACTAACCAGAAAAGATTCAACTGTGTCCGTTGAAAAATCGTGACTAGAGTTATCATCAGTTGCTGGATTTGTGAACGATTTCTGCAAAGCTTTTGTTAGTGCTTCTGTTTCTGTACTAGAAAAGATATCGCAAAACCAAGAATCGGAAAGTGTTGGATGAAACGGCGCCCACGATTGTTCCATCGCCATCTTTGAAACTTCCCTTGTATTTCTTCCAAAACAAAGAACGAATCAGCAAATAAAACCCAATTTATTTGTAAAGAAAAGAGAATTAGTTCATGAAACGATGGAAAATAGCTTCAGGGATGGCCGATGGGAGATTACGAAAAGTGAGAGTAAACGGTGGGAGAGGATGAATGATTGATGAGAATGAGGAGGATGGGCAGGGTGAGAGCTAAATAAATAGAGCGGTGGCCGGTGAGGAAGAAGGAGCCGCGTAGCGGTGCTGTGGACACGTGGCAGTTAAAAAATAAAAAATAAAAAACCATGGTTTAATTACGGGGCTTGACAGTAGAGTGACGAAATCAAAGGTTAAGTTCTGTTTGGCATTCATTAAAATTATAATTCATTTTTTTCTTTTTTCTTAAATACATTTTTCTATAAAATAATATTATATGTAAATCCAAAACTTTTCACTCTTTTTTAACAACACATTATTAAAAAATTTAATATTCTAAAATAAAATTTTTTAAAAAAAATTCTCGTTACGAAACAAGAGCTAAAATTTTTAAGTTGCCGTACTGATAATTAAATATCCGTACAGAACAGTACCGTGCTGTGCTTTTTCGGTCAAGCAGAGTCACGGCTCCTATTTCCGTTGACTCTCTCCAGCCGATGCCAGTTTCTTTTATTGAATTTTAGGTGAGAGATTAATATTTAGTCAAAATTCAAGAAATTTGAGGTTTCATTAATGTCTAACCACTTATTAGTTAATAGTAAGCCTGGAGATTTTGGTAATATTTCAATAGATGAAAAATACCAAATTAGAAGTCAAATCCTTTTAAATGAAATCAATAGTTGCATCACGATTTTAGCCCCTGTTTGACAGCTATTATTTCAATTTTTTTTCAATATATTTATTTTCAATCATACGTTTACATAATAAAATATTTTACAAATAAATTCAAAGTTTTTTTCTTATCTTTTAACCACATATTCTAAAAAAATAATCACCATTCAAAATATCATTTCACTCAAATAATGATTGTCAAACATGAGTTTCGATAAGTTTATTTTATACATTTATTTGGACTTAAAAATACAGACATTAATAGTTCTTTTGAACAATTATAACTTAATTAATTGTATACTGTGTTATTAGGTGAAATTCGATGAATGGAAGTAGATTTGATAGAAAGAAGTGAAAATTAGCAAAAAAAAAAAAAAAGGGCAAGATCTAAAGTTTGAGGACTAAAGTGTAAATACTCAAAAATTGAGCCGAAGCTCAGGATGAAGATTTGAGAATGCTAGGAGTCAATTGGATACAATTAGAAGTTAAAAGGAGTGAAATATGACTAAAATATTTTTACAGTTAAATTTTCAACCGTTCAAGGATGTTCCAGATTTTAAGCCAAAGATTGAAACCCACTTTTTGCCTGGTAAACATTCGAATTGGAAAATAACTATTTCTAGTAAAGTTATAACTCTTTGAGTTATCGTTTAAATGCACTTTCAATCTCTTTAATCGGACATCGAAAAAGAAAGTTACGACAAAAGCACTGAAAAAGACGCCCATTCTCGGGAAAGAAACTAGATTCATGGTGCCGCGGCTAGGTGCTACTAGCGGTGGAAAAAAAACTCGGAGGCTCGTACGGCTCGAGTTAGGCTCTAAAAAAGCCCAAGCCTCACTTTGGGGAGTCGGCTCGAGCCCAGGCCGGCCCATGGCCTGGATGAGCCACCTATTAAAAAAAAAAAAAAATTTTTTTTTAAAGACAGCTGTTGCTGCCTGCAGGAAACTAAGAAAAAAAAAACCAAAATATTCGAGCCGACTCGGCTCGGCCTGCTAAGGCTCGGGTCAAAAGCTCAGGTCGAGCCTCATTTTTTTTTTGTCGGGTTCGGTTCGACTCGGGCCAAAAAAGCTCGGTCCAAAAAGACTCGGGTTCGGCTCGACTCGGCTCGGCTCGTTGACATCGATAGGTGCTACCCACCACTAAAAATAGGGGTTTTCAAGTGCAAATCATCGTTTAAAAAGCCCAATTCAACCTAAACTCTTCCAAAACTCAAATAAGACATAAATATAACTCTAGTTCCACACAATTTGGGTTGGGTTGGGTTGGGTTGGGTTGGGGTGGGGGGAGAACACATAATCATCAAGATCAAAGAGCAAAATCTTGAGTTTGAAGACTTTTGAGGTTGAAAAAAATTATTGGTGCAAAATCCAATTTTTTTCATGATCAAGATTTTAAAACTCGGTTATGAACTCTATACTTTTTGTTTTTCTTTCATTATTATGAGTACCTAAATTTATAGATAGGGCGAACAACATAATCTATGTTTGACCATTTATCTCTTTTATTCAAAAATTCTACTTCTTTAAATACATATGTGTTGATTTTATTCATGAATTTAATACTTTAAATTCTTTGACCAATTATTCAATAATTTTGTGAATCTATTACGAATCGAGATGTGAGATTTAGATTTAGACCACATAGTAAAATTCGATATTTTAGTATAACATGTAGAGATATCTATACTAATTATTGTGGTCATTAGATGAATTCTTAAAACTAATATTTCGTTTAACTAAGGTTGATCCACATAGAGATATGAAATTGAATTAATTAAATAGATTCATTGAGAACTCGAGAGGGATAAATTGAATACTTTAGAAGAATTCGACCGAACACTACAATGATAATAGATTTTAATTGGTGAATCAAAGTGGATCCATATATAATATTGTAAATCCTAGTATCCACATTCATACTTTTAAGATCCAAATTGAATAAATTGTCTACGTTAGATGAATTTAGTTTAGTTAGATTAATTTAGACACCAATCACAAAATTATCATTTGTTTTCGATCAAACTAAAGTTAAGAATAATTTAACCAATTGTTAAATAGTATAGGTCACACGGTCACAGATTTCCAAATTAGTTGGTCACAAATAAAAAAATTACAGGTCACAGATTATGAATCGGTCACAGATTTTTAAATTTGTTGGCCACTTGTGACCATCCTCATCTTGACACCAACAACAGCACCAACGCCACACCACCACCACCACCACCACCACCAATGAAAGCCGCCACTCCACGGTGCCACCACCAACAAAACTGTCACCACCAAATCAAAAAAAAAATCCCAAACCCACAACCAAATCTTTGTAAAGTTTGCTCTCTGACTTAAATTTAATGAATTTGAGACTGCAAAAAACCCAGATAATGCATGATAACGTCGGACTGTGTGCAAGCTTTTTGTTAAATTGAGAGATTTTTCCATGACATAGGGGAAATGCGAGAATTGATTGATAATAAAAAGCACCATATAATAAAATAATAAATGCTCATCACTGAGAAAGCAGAAATCATGATAGGGAGATAATCCAGTAGGATTTTACTACATTTTGTCTTGAAGAGAACACTTTTCATCATTTTCCTACTGAAGTATATACACAAATTAGTTCAATCATGTCTTTATAAAATAGCAAATCTGCAAGTACCAACAAATCATGGCCAAGGGTTCCCACTTACCAATAGAATCAGTGCCATTACATGTGTGTTACTAACATTCGCTAACCTCACGTCCTAGATATATCCCTCAGAGCTCATTTATGTTGCGAAACCTCCACCCCCATCGATGCCAAACACACCACCAACAAAACCCGTTGCCGCCACTGCCACAACACCAACAAAATCTCCATTTGTCACTTTGCCAGGACCATATATGACTCATGGATAAATTAGCACTATCGGCAAACCCTCAGATGCAGCTTCCAAAGCAATTTTGTTCGCCATGGCCTTCGATCTTTGCCGAACAAAGCAAAAGATTCTCTTCGAGGGGGACTAATTTTAGAGAGAAAGGACGGCGATCACGAGAAGGGAGATGAGAGCGATGAGATGAAGGAGAGAGAGGCGAGCGAGACGAGAGAAGGGGAAAAATGGAATATTAGGATTTTAAATTTTTAATTACCTGAATTGTGATTAAAAAACTTTGGCACCTGACATTTGCATAGTGAACTTTAAATACTGGAATCGTGTAATTTCCTCAAAAAGTATTGCCCATGTTTGGGCTCAATTTTTCCAAAAATACATTTTGCTTAAAACTCATTTTCAAGCCCATATTTTCTACTAAAATAATGTTACACAAAAATCCAAACTTTTCCCCTTTTTAACCAAATATTCTCTCAAAATTACTATTCCAAAATATATTTCCTCCAAAATTTCTTTTTACTGGAGTTCAAACATGAGATCATATCAAGACACTTGACTTGATAGATGTAAATGTTATGAATATGCTTCAACCTCATTTTTTTGGAGAATAAAGTACGCGCGACTAGAAAAAATTGAGTTTATGAGTAAAATAATTGTATTAAAAGAACGTGTGATTCAAAATGAATTTGTGAAAAACGAGTTTTAGAAAATAGAGATAAAACAGGGGGCTAAATAGAGCCCATAAAGTGCGGAGATTAATAATAAAATTTTCAATATCCCCAACAACGTTCAGTTGAAACGAAATTTAAATTTTGCCGAAATCAAGTAAAAACCCTCATATATTTCAAATTTTGAAGAGTGAAAGTTATCTTGCTTTCAAAAAGATGCGAGTCTTCACTTGTGACATCAATTTCATATCACAATACTGTTAGTTTTTAATTTCATAACGTAAATCGATTTAGAACACAAATTAAATGAGATTAAAATAATTACATATTGAGCCATAATCACAAATGGAGTCGATTTTATAATCTCACAGCGAGCACAATTTGCACAAGTCAAAAGCTAAATCTTCCTCTTCATCTCTTCTATCGTGCAAGACAATTTTTAATGGGCAAAACTAATCCGATACATTGTTGAGAGAAAATGGGACCTAGCCTATTTAATTGTTTGATAACTGTCAAAATAGAATCACACCCATTATAGAACTCTATTCAGCCTACACTTATTCCACAAATCAAGACAAATGGGTTTAAACCCATAAAGGTTCACCAAGCCCAAAATACCAGTTATGATCACATATAACATATTGG